CAAGAAATGATGTCCTTGTTAGGAAACTGTAAACCTAGTCGCTGAAATCTTGAATATTCATCAATATTTCCATAAACGTTTTTATAAAGAATGGTAATTCTTCAAAATGGTTGAGTGACATAGTAAGATAAACTGTAGGGATTCAAAATAAAATTTAATCATAGACAGTACAGAAACAAAATAAGTCAGCTAAAGGTAAAACGTCTGTAGAGAAATAAGGATAGGGTAATTACTTCGGAAAACTTGTGATTAAGGCCATTATAGAAGAAGAGGTTGAATAAGATTCATTTGTGCACACAATTTTGTTTGATCTAAATGTTTCGGGAAGGACTCATAAATGCTAAGACAGAAGTTCACTGTCTTCGTCAGGCTGCTGCCTACCCCATAGATAACTTAAAATGCTGAGTTTTGGTTAAATAACCCATTTCCACAAATTTTTTCGATCACACTCCTTGAATCTGAACAGACAAATCGTCCTACAACCTCCACTGGATTTTCTGGACCTCCTGCAGCTGCACAAAATCTCCCGCCTCCTGGTGTATTTATTCCTACTTCTGTAGGGGACAATGTAACGTCAACATCGGAAGAGAAGCAAATAGAAGGTAATTCTTTATTTAAAAAAATTTTCAACCCGTTCAAAGAACGTTTTTCGTCTCAACAAATATATAATTAACTAGACAGTTGTATGAAAACATTTTGATTTGCTCTATTTCTGCAACATAAAAGACAATAGGTAGAATTTCAAATATCCCATTCTGCTAACAAGCATCAAAAGGGTATACATGGTATGTTCACCAAGTACGCAGATTGATATAATGGAAAAGTTTATAACACAGCCTAAAAGACTGGACATGTTTAATGTTCCCAACGTTAGCTTTCCTTATCAACCATCTCTTGTCAGGATCCCGACTAACAATCTCAGTAAACCAGTTCACCTGTTTATTGAACAGATTATGTAAATAAACTGATTCAGTCGACCTACTGGGCTATTTCTTTCAAATGTTTATCCTCCTCCCGATCGTGTCATTTCATTTATATCCATAACTTGACATTTTGTATCCTTATGCAGTCACGGTGATTTTTTCTTATCTCCTCTGTCAAGTCTGATGAAAGGGATTAATATCGCTTGTGAATGATAATTGTTGCTGCTCTTATGGTGATATATAAAAATATTGGTATGCATAAGGTGACCGATTAAACAATCACTTCACGAGAGTGAACTGAATTACCAATTATTACGCATCGAGAACAAAGAGAACGTTTCTATCATTACATTTTAAATTATCCAACTAATAAAGAAGGCAGGAAATAGGAATTAAATGGTATATTTTTGTACTGTTTTTATTAAACTTTAAATTAAAAATGCAGAAGATAAAGAAAACCCAAGAAGACAAAGAAATGTGGTGATATTAAAGTACTTCAAGGGATGTGGCCCCCTAAATAAACCACTTGCTTCTGTTTAGGCGCCCGGGCAGTATCCCAACCCTCGCACAAATCTATTTGGTGCTTCCTTGTACCAATGTTTGTGTTTAAATTAATAAGTACTTCAAGCATGTCTTTGTAACTAAAACTCTCCGCAAACCCAATATTCTTTTCTGGGATAGGTGATATGATGATCTTGGGGCTCTGCTAAGTAATTGAGTTACACTTGTGTATATAAGTTTGTAATTAACTGGTGATTCTACTTAGTTTGATTTAGAAAATTGTTTCTATGATTCAATTTATGTCTCGTTTCGTAGATATCTTGTATTGAACGCATTTAAGCAAATACTAAAATAGAGTAAATTATTGTTCATTTGTCCGAGCTATATAATTCTTCGTAACAATGTCTTTGCGTAACAGACCTTGGAAATCAAGTATAAATGACGCGTTTTATATGGCTTCTTAGTATCATTTATTGCATCCTATCCAGACCGGTGCAAGTTGTAACACACGAATATCACAAAGTTAAAACCCTCCTGAGGCAACTATAGAACTTATCAATCAACGGGATTGTTTTCGTAACTCATTCCCAAAAATCAATTTCTGTGACTAATTCAGTGTTTATCATATTTCAAAGCTTTATGCATAGTACTGTCATTAAATCGAAATGAAATTTATTTTTGTGAATTTAAATTTATCTAACTCATTGATTTCTGTGTTATTCAGATGTCATTTCCGTCACAACTGCATCCGTCTGGGATGACGACGACGACTCGGCGATCCCTGTCCCAACTGCTTCAGAGGAAATTCCTGAAATCCCCGCTGAAGATCAGGTCGGGAAGCACACTGAAGTAACCGTTCACCTAAACGATGTCGAAGACTCTCAAGATGTGTTTACTATTAGTATGTCTAGGTAGGAATCACTTTTATCAAATTACTGGAAACCTTATTTTATAAGCATATTAGTAGATCTACAACTCAATACAAACTGCAAAATATGTGCTTATTATTCAACATAGTAATGTGGCTGTTTGCCTACTTTGCCACTACAAATTTTCGGCAGTGTTCCGGAGTACTGAATAAAATCGAATATGCTTGAACGGTTTTAGTAAAATAGGTTCATATTTATCTAAATATTTATGTTTGAGTAGACATCCTACTATTTACACTCAAATTATGGCAAAGAAACTAGATCTGACTTTGCTGCACGCTGTTAATAAGGAAGTTAATTAAACTGTAACTCATTAGCGGTAAAAATCTATCATTGACTTAGGTCACATTAAATGTGCTGATAATTATAGATTACGATTATCTCGAGGTTCAAAATTTATTTAAATAGATTCATGATTGTACTCATTTCATTCAGTATACTTCTATACTCAATGGTCTTAATTTGTCTGCTTATTGTCCCTATTAGGGTTTTATTGCTCGAGAATATGGTAGGTGTTAATGAAGTGGACGACGAACTTAAGGAGGAAGTAATGGAGGAGTGTGGGAATTACGGTTCTGTTCTACGCGTTTTGATTCATATAATGACAAGTCAGGATGTTCGCATCTTTATTCAGTTTGATCGATCGGATGACGCTAAAGCTGCTTGCTGTGCCCTAAATCAACGCTATTTTGCTGGTCGTGTTGTCCAAGCTCGTTTGTATGATGAAGAACGGTTCCAACTGCATGAATTGGATGACTAAGGAGTATTCTAACTTATTTTATTGGTCGTATTTCAGTCCGGATTCAATATCAGTATTTCTTATAACAATTATGTACGCATATTTACGATGTTCATTTTGTTTGTCAGACTTATTGTATACTTCCTTAACCCTACAATCTGTATATACATAAAACAAGGTTGAATTTTATATTAAACATATTCCGAATTAGTTTCCCTTTTGTCGTTTCTGAATATATGGTCAAGTTACATTCCCCTTGACTATGCTCGAACTAATAATGATTATTCACATGTAAACTTTTTGATTAATTCGTTACTAAACCACTTATTTAATAAACTTGCAAGTTTTGTCGTATTTCTTCATACTATTCAAGTGCATCCACTGAATATTTTATATGACTTCCACGCGTTTCGCCCTTAAGTCTTCGATGAAATCTAATGTTCAAACGGTACCAATATACTATTAGGACTCCGGTTTTATCTTTGCGTTGAACAGCCAGATGGCATCACCAGTTCTCACATTCAGAAATATGTAGTTTAAACCCGGATACAATTTTCTTAGTTTTGGAGACATTTTACCTCCTAGGACAGATTGCTGGTTCGAGGGTTCAGTGTTTGTGGTTAACAAAGTAGTGATAAAGGATACCCAAGTCTCGTTTACCTATTGCTTACTAGTAATTCCTATAGTGCAGGCGAAATGCTTGTACATCAACCAAAGAACAAATACATTGTAACTTTGTGGTGGGGTTTCGTTCTCTGAGCCAGGTGGTTTAATTATGAAGCTTTCATTGTTCTTCTGAACAACAGCCAACTCCCTGACGGGATGGAGAATAGCTGAGCACATTGAATGGTGAGAAATTAACTCACTATATCTGGTGTTTTTGAGAAGGACAATGAAAGCTTCACGATTAAGCCTCCCATCTAAGGGATCGAGACTCCGACAAAATCTACCTGAGCTATAAATCTTTTATACCGTCTCGCATTGTGTCGTTTCGCCCTGTATTGGCACAAAGGTTGTGAAGTGTGACCTATGAGAGCATTAGACATGAGTAGGCTGTAAGTGTTTGATCGTAGGCATTTTTAAAGAATTGCTAGCGAGCAGTATTTGTACTAGAGGTAAAAACTGGGGAAACCCGTTGATAAGACAATAAATTCTTGTCGACTGAGGTGGTTGAAACATGTATCCCCAAAGGGGCTCACCCAAACGTGCAACGCATCCCAAAAAACGTTTCTTCAAGAGGGATTTTGTAGTGAGCCGTAACTAACCAATGTAGATCGAAAGAATCTAGAGCATTTGGTGCTCAATTAGGAGTCAGGACTAGATTACCACGGCGTGCAATGCTGACCAGTTGGAGACGGATGGAAGAAATTTAGGGGCGTTCAAACTAAAACGTGGCATCAGTCCATAAAGTCACTAGCTTTTGTTCTGAGCCATGTTAGTAGATGCAGACTAATTGGTTGAGTTCCGCGCAACTATCGTAACCAGTGGTTGGGAACTCGGTATGACATGGCTCAGAATCGATCACAATGGTGTAGGTGTGTACACTCCTTGTCTTCTCTTAAACCGTGAAATTAAAATTACATATTTATAAGAACTGATTCTTTCCCTATATCAAATCCTTATATGCAATCTTTTCATTATATATATATATATATATATATATATATATATATATATATATATATATATATATATATATATATATATATATATATATCATTGAAGTAACTATTATGAATATGTTCACCTTGTGCTAATGAGGTAAGGAAACTTGTACCGAAGCATATATGTGCCTGGTCCTACTTTGTAGATTGACTGACTAAACTAAAGTTTAATAACAGAAGCCACATGTAAGATGTATGTCTGCCGTGTAACAAATCACCCGACAGAAAAACTAATCGAAACATATACAAGAACAGTATATTATACCAGAAATCTTGAAAATATCACATTTAAAAGTTTGTTTTTAAGGGCGTGAGTATTACTAATCCAAAAAAAAATAAAAGTTATAAATAAAAAAATACTTTATAAAGGACCCTTCAAAATATATCACTAGAAGTTACTTCATATCTTATGGAACGACTAACAAGTTTTTATATGACTAATCATGATCTGGACGAAAAGTCATTTGATGTTTATGAACGCTAGGTTATCGATGCCTGTACAAAAAATAAGTAAACAGTGAAGAATATTTTTTAATTAGTGTTTATATTGATTTAACAAGGATAACATTTTATAGTTTAATTTCAAAATATTTTAGTCTAATTATGTACCGTGACAATTTATTTTCAAGCTGCTATTACATGACTGTCTGGTTGCTCATTTTATAATAACCCAACAAAATTCAAACCCCATTAACTAGTGTTGTGGGTATTAAGGGAACCAGGCTTATTTGGTAAAAAAAGAACGTAGAACACTAACAAAACTACAGAATATGCAGGAATAATTCCCTCCCCTTTCTGTATATCTAACATGTTATGTTACCGACCATTGCTGTAGGTGCATATTTGATGCTATTAAGCACCTTCAGCGTACATACTCATTCCTGTCCCAAATAAAAAAAATTCAGTCCGAATTATTTTCTGTTTTTATATGTATTTGCTGAGATGAAATTAATGACAGTATTGCAGATGTAAGCATTTCTTATCACCATTTAGTTTCAATGTTATTTAATATTTTTCATTCGCTCTCATCAAACTATACTTCTTACATTTAGTTTTCTGCTTATAACTCGGATTGTCTGAGAAAAAAATAAACCGAGTAAAGATTTTCACGAAAAACAGTATCAAAACATTGACTGCCCACCTTTTTTTAAGACTTAGTATCTTCGAAAAAGAAATGATAAAAGCTTTCGCAAAAAACATATCAACTTACTTCATTGTATGAAAGTGAAGAATGAAAAATATAAGACCTAAAATAAGACCCACACTGCCCACAACAATATAGGATATTCCTAATGTTGGATTTCGGCCACCTAACCAACTCATCGTAGACAGTATAATTCGTTTAGTGCCACCAAATTGAGTGACAGGATAAGCTGAATGTACAATAAAAACAAGCAAAATTAAATCAGAGGAATAACATGAACTTGAGTGAAATTTTTTGTTTGGTAAACTTGTGAAACGCAAATATAAGAAATACACCTTCAGAATCAAATGATCTTACTTTCTAGTATCTTAAGAAATAAAATACTTGAAAATTTTGTACTAAAGTTTGATGTTAACTGGTGGCTTATGGATATAAAAATAAATGAAACTATTGGAATGATCTGTATATAGTGTTGTAGAAGCCAATTCCTCTCTAAGTAGATACTTTTTATGCTCACGTACCCGCTAACTATATTTACCAATTTATATAGACTTAGAAAGAGTAGCAAATAAAAGAAGTTAAACGAAGGCATTTAGTCGGAATCAGTACATGAAGTCACTAACTTGGTCTGGACCATGTTAATGGCTGTTTACTATCCAGTCTGGAATATGGATGATTATTGCTACGATTTCGTATAGATGTTACTCAAAATCTGTCGCAATGGTGCAGATTTATTCACTCTGTTCATCTCGAAATCCTGGATATAAAAGTTATATTATACGTTTTCTGCTCTGAGTTCATCCTTCTTGAATCGTATTCGTTATGCCTAATTTTTTTTGTCACAACTGATACTACTTCTAATAACTTAGTACTCATCTTAGTGTGTTGATATGGTGTGGTAATTCGGACCAACTCATATATGATTCAGATTTTGCGTTACCTACTGTCGACCGAATCTAAAATCTTGAATAGAAACAGGGTCTTTCCCTAGTGCAATATCAAGGCATCCGATGAACATCGGTCACTAAACAGATATTCTTTAACCAATTACGATACCAAAGGAACGAAGGATGCCAATTCCACTGCGTTCTGAGGAATCTTTTAGTTCGAACTTTCCAAACAGAAGAACAAGATGACTAAACTTACACTATCCTATCAATTAATTTTCAACTACCAAATTGATACTACTGGTTTATCCTCTTAAGTTTTTTTCAAATGACTCAGAGAAATTATATAATTCCTCAGTCTATTAGGGTTTAATTCTTCTTAAACCATTTGTTCATTCCTTTTACGATCAAAATTTTTTAACTCACATACATTATCACGTTTTCAATTGTAGTTGACAAATTTTGTTTTCTACGCGTAGTTTAATTACTATTTTCTAAATGTAAGTGAATTTATACGTTCAAAGCACATTTCAATAAACATTACTTATGACAAATTTGTTGCCATCTGAAACCGTTTGTAAGTAAGAAGCTGTAAAATAGAACAAATTCTGCCTCCACATCAAGTTTATTTGTTCTAATTAAATAAAATTACGCTTGCTATCGATCTAAAAATTTTGCTCTTATCATCACACATTAAAACGGGTTAGCAAAATGGTTAAAAACAACACAAACAATAATTCGGAAAAAATAAGAAAGAGATAAAGAGAGTGACTTATAACCTCCTTATATGGGATTTGATATGACTCTACCGAGCTTTACTGTCGTATCCAAGATCCAGCTGCCATTTAAACAGTCAGCTTATCAACAAGGACCATAACGTAAAAAAACTATTGTATCAGATGAATTAAAGTGTAACCTTAGGCATAGGAAACTAAATTTCTGTTAACTGAGAGGATCTAACTGACGAAAAACATGTCGGTCGCGTCAAAAAAAAAGTAAAAGTAAATCAGTACTCACAGTACTCAATATCAACGCTATAAATTCCAGCTGGCAGACCGTTTGAAAAAGCGCCGACATGAGTGACTAGACGATGTAATTTACGGAATGTTGGTAGTGCTGAAACACGCATCCATACTAATAACTCTTCGTCTTCGCTATATGCACCAGATGAGCGTTCAAGAGCTGACTTTTTCCAACTAACTGGCTTTACTGTGTTTGCCCATGAATCAGCTGGTGGTTTTCCAAATTTTTCTTCAACATCAGTACGCCAAGCGATCCCCTTATTGGTCATTGGAACTTGTAATGGTTTAGCAAGAGGTTCGGAGCTTTTACCAAGATATTTTAGAGTAAATGAGTCTGAAATGAAAAAAGATTCCATAAATGATTCCACTGAAATACATTAACTATTTTGTGGACCGGTCAGAAGAATATCTGGTCGATTTTCACTAACAATCCAGCATAGATTGTGTATGGACAGGTACTTTGTTTACTAATTAGTTGCTTTGTTTTCTCATAATGGTTTGGTTTGTAAGCTCTGTAGCTGAATGGAAAAAGTACTAGTGATTTTTAATAAGACATTTAATATTAAGATAATAACCAACAATGAGTGAATCTATATCTTTATTAATCACGTTTTCTGGCTTTTAAATACTAAATTTTAGCACATTCATTGGTCTATCTAGATAGTCTACACGTCTCTATATTGCTAAAACCAGTGGTCCATGACATTAATCTGCTTACGCTTAACTTTCTAACAAAATTTTACTCTATGCAAGACGATATGCATGACACATAGCCTATCAGCATCATTCATTAGGTACTTCGAATCCTACAAAGCATTTTAACCTTACCTGAATTCAGAATGGATTAACGAAACGCCCCATTACACACGAATAAGCCTATGTCGGTATATAAGGTCAAATTCTTCTAAACTATGCATTCCGAGTATTTTTTTAATGGGAACAACACCATCATAAAGTAAAAATAACTTGACTGTTGAGCACTATACTAGCTCTTTTGTTCGTTTGCCAACATTTTGCTATAGATGCTTATTTATTTATTTTAACACATAGATGTTGGTACAAGGAGGCACCAAATACAAATGCGCCACACAAATCTCATTTGATATGTGTGAGGGCCGTGATACTGCCCGGGTGCCCAAACCGAAGCAGGTGGTTTCTTTAGGGGGCCACACCCGGAGCCTTCGATCTAAAGGTCTGATCCACAAGGCAGTGGAGCAACGTAAGGAGATGCAGTCCCATGGTAGCCGGTAGGTAACCAACGATTGGTTCATACGCCATTTGTTCCTTCAGGATACTGGAGCCCATGTGCACCATTGGTTTGGAATCAGGGTTTTCCGACTCCCCTAGGTAGACTCTCCGTATCCACCAACCCGGTTAAGGTGCCGGGCATTTGCTTTTCGTCCTTTCAATTTCGTAAACAACACCCACGCTGTGAGAAGGTAGTGAGTAGGACTTCCCTGGCAGAGGCTATATACGCGTGGCCACGTGAGAGCATTTGGAGAGGGAGAGCGGACTCTTCCCACTCTCGGTCGTACCAGGGCAGCAAAGTACTGAATCGACTATTTTGTTGAGGTTTCATTGACAGTCATCCAACCAATACAAATCCAACTTCCCAATTCTCCCAATCACATTATTTACCTATCTAAAACTAAGAGTCAATGAGGACGGTTTTTATGGTATTCTACATTTGGTAGGCCCAAACACACTCGTAAAGGAGTAACTATTTCTGGAAATACAATTTAAAAAATTGATGTGCATAAAGTCAACTTCGTGTAAAAACGCGATTTATCTATTCGAAGATGATTCAGAAGATCAATTACAATGACCTCAAGACACAATTTCCAGCACCCTAGTAACCAAGCGACATGTGGGTAACTTCAAACAAACGCATATCATTTCTCCAGCCAAAAAATGTGACGTCTACAGAGAATAAAAAAACAATCAGCTGTTTGATTTAGGTAGATTTTGTCACTTCTAAGTACCCTATTTTCATTCCCTGGAACCCGTTGATAGTCTTTTCCCAGGCATAATAATTCTTACGAATATCACATCTCCAGCAGGTATCTCTATCGATCAGGTTATATAAATTTATAAGTATAATATACGTACGAGAAGGTCTGTTTTCTTTTCATTGACTATATCTTGATGATAAGTCTTATAAAATAGATTTTTGGTAGCATATTAGGTCATACCATTAAATTAGTGATTTTGAACGAACTTATGATATATTTAAGTCTGCAAAGCTTTAGATAGTTTGTTGTCTATTAACTTCATTTCATGGCAACTTTTAGCCCTCGCAATTATGCGAAGCATGGACCTCTTTTCAAGTTTGCAAATACTGTGAGCCACAGTTTGTACTGTTCGCACGAACTTATACGGAACCGTTTATTGAAACAGCGCGAGATTACTATCGATTACATTATATCACCACCGTTTTCATTTTATATTACCAAGTTATCAACTTATTCATCAGGTACTTGGTGATGAGCCACACTCTTAGTGTTAGGGGAAATGATGTAATCCGATTGCCCAAACTGAGGTAGATGGAAGTGTTAGGACTTGGGAGCCGAAGGTCAAACCCCTTAACTCTTGAGCCTTCACGCCGTACACATGCAAACAAAACGATGTGTGAATATCATCGGTTAGTTATGAGATATAACTACAAGTCGTAAGGAAGCATACAATGGATAGGGAGAGAATGTACCAGGTTTTTTGGGGTTTTAACATTGAAAAATGGAAACATCGGTGGTCGGTGTTTTAGACGCCAAAGAATCTTATTACACGCTGACAATCGGGAGAAATGGTAAAATTTTAAAAAATACTATTATATCAGATTTCGGAAACTTATCAGTGTGAAGGATAGCGGTATCAAAATTACCATTGAATAAACTCATTGCAATAGCTCCACATGGGGCATAGACTTTTCCATTGGGATCGAATCGATACGGTTCACAACTTGGTTTTGGAGTTTCCACGGAACCGTGTAACTGGTAATCATCCTTTGATATGACGTAGCGGCGATGATTTTGGAAGAAATTTGACAGGCCATAGTAAAAGTACACTTGACCCTCAGATAAAAAAAGGATTACATATAACGTTATTTATTTACTTTATAATTGACGAATTTATAAATAATTTTGGATAAGGTAAAAATAATCACTTTAGCTGGATTCAATAAATTTAATGCTGAACTTAAAATGTCCGAAAAGATATGCAGATTTGATTAACTCACATTTATTTAAACCATAAACCTACTCTCTTAAGAGTATTTTTTCTATGACCCCATTAGATATTTAGTGATCGCAGACACTAGGGTGCTAAAAACCATATTAACTAGGCTAACTTATTAGTAATTGATATGGAGAGCCAATCAGAAGTAGCCTGATGAAAAGGTCAGTCGCTGGCAATCAGAAGTGATCCAAAGGACAAGTGCATTTCATTGGCTAGAAAATAGTTCGATTTTCTGAGGATGAGTGGTGGTATATATATGAATGAGTATTTGCGCATTTTATTCGGTAGAACAATACAATGACTCACTATTCTGTTCTCGCTTAAGCAGTCAGTTGGGAAGTAACGCGTAGCACACTGCATCAGTATCAGATTTTGGACACCGCCTGAAACACCACAATAATCATAGAATATGTAACTGGAAAAATGTATATAACTATCCAGATAGCCTAAATGTGGACACCGGAAAATTGAGGCTAGGTGAACAAAAATACTCGTCCTTCCTGGATTTCTAAAACAGAGCATATACCTATAGCAAGTGATTTTAGATTTGTCTACTGAAGTTTTTGTTGGATGCGAACAATTACTTCGGAGTGGTATTTGGGATGTCAGTTGTGTTCAGTTATTTAGCATCAGAATCACCTGTGAGAGTAGTCAAAGTTAGCATAATAAAACATAACAACGGGCTCTGTGGTATATGAAGCGAAGGACTACACAGAATGGAGATGATTTTTTCCGGAAATTTAAACATTACGAACATTCAACTAACCATACAGTGAAAATACAGGGTTTGTTCTGATGACTTACCGACTAGGAAGTGTGAATGAAAAACTCAAGTCACAATTAGTAATAACCAATTTTACTTACAAATGCTTCATGTCAGCACTAAATATTTTAACGTCGTACGTCAATGAATTACGGTTGTTGAATATATCGTTGCTATTTATAAGCTACAGTAAGAACTAGTTTCAAAAATGGAGAACCGGTTCAAATATAATAATTACCATGTCGATGATAAGAGCATCGAAGCAAATGACTACGTTTATGTAATTATTAGATTGTTAAGCATTTAAGAGACGTATAATACTAAATATAACGACTGGAGTAGTCCGAATGAGTTCTTGTTATCCAAGTTACAGTTGGTGAGAGCTGATTTCTGTAAGTCAAATTTTATTGGATGGAGATATCATATATATGCGGTGAACTAAAAGAGTAGCATAAAAGGAAATTATCGTACTGACATTAGTAGACATGTTATACATGTTCTAGCAACACAAATCCTCGACCCAACAGTGGTAATATTTTTAGCACCAAAATCAACAGCAAACCATCATTAGCAAAAATGTAAAAGAAATCACTGGTGGAAGCAATAAGCCAAATAAAATTCTACTGTCGTTACATGGATAATAAACAAAATCGTAGTAACAATGAATGGCAAGAACATTCCTCCTAAACCTAGACCATTATGACGCTAATACGATCGCATAATATTAGAGTGACCATGCTGATTTGAAATGAACATTTTTGGGTCAGATGGAACTGTAAGCAATACGTACAGAGAGCAAAGCGTTGGACACAACAATGCTACTTTGTCATTTACTACGTATTTTAGGCGACGTAGATCCATGTAACACTTACCTTGAACTCTTCCTTGAGTTCAAATTCGACTTTGCATGAACATATATTATATGTCCTATAGAAATCAGGAAGTCTGACCAACTCAGAACATCGTGTATGGCGTACGGTATCTTCGCAGTGAGTATACTCCACAACAACCTCTAAAACCTTACCAAAGTGAAGAAGCAAGACGAAGACTTACGCTATTAGAAGATGCAAGTAAAACTATACCCACTGGTATGGATAATAATCCAATAGTGAGAAATATTGGAAACGCATTCCTAGCAGTTAGAATTGGTCTCCATGACTTTAGACGCTGCTGGTGAAAAGGTGTATCTGAAGCAGAATGCCAACTAATAGCTCACAAAGATACCTTTCGGTTTGTTTGATTTCTTTGGCTTTGTCTCAGCTGACTCCATGATACGACTAACAACACCCACGTAACTCAAATGTACGAACTAGCGCCCCTATCAGTCTTCAGTCTTTAGTAAATGGTTCAAATGGTTGTAGACGGAATAGAAGAAGCTTTCACTTAACAGGCTTCCGTGTCTAGTAGCAGGGGATCACCAAATCCTCTAGGCAGGAACCTAGGTATGTTAACAATAAAAGAGGAAAAGAAATTGGTAAATCATAGTGTGATACTGTCCTTGGTCCTTAAGAATAGGTCAAGTTGCCTCTTGAAGGACTCTTGAGAAGTCGCTTGGACTAGCTCGGCCGGCAGCGAATTCCAGCTTTTGACAACTCTTAAGGAGTAGAAGTTGTGTCTACGTCCCATCTTGCTATGTTGAGTTTCCAGTTTCTGGGTGTTACCCCTTAGGTTATTATTCGAACTAAGCTTGAGTAGGTGTTTAAAAAAATGTCCAGAAGTGTTAAGAATACTATAAGCTAATAATAAATCACCTCTAAGACGCCTATACTCTAATGGGTAAAGGTCTAGTGAATGGAGGCGTTCTTCGTAAGGCTTAGATTTGAGTCCGCGAACTGATTTCGTGGCTCGCCGTTGGATACGCTCCAAAGTGACCTTGTCCTTTTGGAGTGAGGGGGAGTACTATATTTCCGTACTCTAAATGGGGACGGATAAAACTATTGAAGATTGTATGGAAAGTTCTTCCGTCAAACTGGCCAAAAATGAGCTTCAATGTTACCAGTGCAAGGTTTGCTCGGAAAGCATTTTTGTCACAACTAGCGTAAGACTTTAAGTCATAGGGGCACCAGGACTCCTAAATCTTTTTCGACTTGGGATACTACTAGAAAGGAATTTCTTAAGTTATAACTGTAGTCTGCGACATGTCGCAGATGGACTACTTTAAACTTTGAAGTGTTAAACGTAAGTCTGTTATCGTCTGCCCAACTTTGAAGTCGAGTCAGATCCTCCTGAAGTGCCTGTGTACCGTCTTGGTTGCGTCATCGGCAAAAAGTAATAAGTCTGACGTTATCTGTTGAGGAAGATCGTTTATGTAGATCAAGAAGAGAAGAGGCCCTAATACTGAGCCCTGGGGGACCACACTAGGACATTCCATAGCCTGAGATAAAGTGAAATTAACCCTGACCTTAAAATGTCGATTTTTTAGGTATGAAGTAAGCCAATCGATTAGAGATGGTTTGATGCTTAGTCGTTTGAGCTTATTGATAAGACATGTATGGTTAACCATATCAAAAGCTTTTGAGAAATCAAGGTCAATGATATCAACATTTCCCTTGCGACCGAGGATGCTTGTCCATCTGTCCACCGCAGTCAGCAGGTTGGTTATACAAGAGTAACCCTCCCTGAAACCATGCTGTTGGGGTGAGAAGAAATTTAAGGACAGTAGATAGTCGTTTAAACCGTCGCATATCAGGGATTCCATGAGTTTTGAAGGTAATGACAGAAGAGCCACAGGCCGATAACTTGAAGGTTCATTGCATTGACCCCCTTTGAAAATTGGTGTGATGTGAGCCAACTTCCAATTTTCCGGTAGTTTGCCTCGGCTTAGCGAGTGTGAAAACATCACGCTAAGCGGCGTTGCCAGGATTGAGGCTGCCTCCCTCACTATGGCAGAATCAACCATATCCGGGCCAGGAGAAGTATCTAGTCTTAAGTGCTGCAGTTTCCGGAACACCAAGTCAGCGCTTAGATCCACTTCGGAAAGCCCTGTGGAATTGCAGATGAAACTGTCGTCAATAAAGTTGATGTCAGCCGGTTGAAATGTTTGAGAGTAATGTGCCGCCGCCAGGTTAGTGGCGTCGCCATCGTTGTTGGTCGGGTCGTTAAAACATAGCAGTTGAGAAACTCCTGTTTTGGCTTGACGAAGAGAGGCTGCATAACGGAAAAGGCTTCTAGAGTTCGAGGGAAATTTGTCCATAAGCTTTGTCTGGTAATGAAGCATGTCATTTCTTATAGCCTTCGTGCATATGTTCCTGATATGTTTGTAGTGCCTATACGCTCCGTCGTTATCAGTACGTTTGTATCCCACCCAACAGTGCCTTTTGCGGCTCAGCAGGCGAAGGGTACGGTTCTTGATTACTGTAGGTGGCTTGCAGCTTTTGGGAACTGTTTGAGGAACTGAATGGTTTGTAGCACATAAGAGCGTGTGCAGTAAGAAGTCCCAATGACCGTCCACATCGAGTTGGGGGTGAACTTCCCAAACCACCTGTTGTAGATAGTTATGTAGAGCTGGCACATTCAGCCGTCTAAAATTACAACTCAAATTATTGTTGGGATACCTTAGCTTAGTTTTGATGACAAAACGGAAGGCTATGACGGCATGATCGCTCTTCCTCAGAGGAGCCAGGATTGAGAGGTTGTCAACTAGGAATTCTTCGTTTGTGAATACACAGTCTAACCGCGATGGTGTCTGACTGTTTCTCCAACGAGTTGCCGACCTCACATTTTCATATAAGCCCAAGTCATCGATGAGGTTAAAGAACCGAGCTTCAATTGAGTTGTCGCCTCCAGTGTACGTGTGTTCCACGAAGTTGACTCTAGGGAGATTAAAGTACCCTAGAATCAGAATGTGTGTGAAACCGAGACGGGTAGAGCGGGATAGTCCTTCCAGCATACGACTATCGTACTCGATGTCAGCAGTTGGCTTCCTGTAAATGACACCGACTAAACACCTCGAAGTACTAGACAATCTTACAGAGCACCATATGGATTCCTCAAGATTGTTAAACTCGAGGTTGTGAACTTGGTGCACCTCCAAGCAAGAGCTTATGTATATGGCTACTCCGCCCCCAATTTCTGTTGTTCTGTCGTTGCGGAACAAAGTCATCCCTGGTAATGCTAACTCTTGGTCCGAGAACTGAGAAGATATCCAGGTTTCAGATATTCCTATCAGGTGGGCTTTATTAGCGTTGCAAAGTTCACGTAATTCATCCAGTTTGTTTGGTAGACTCGAGACGTTCGTATATAAGCAGTTTATGCTTTCAATTTGGAACGCGTGAGCTTCATCCTGTTTTTCTGTATGAGCCTTATGTGAATAGGCAGGTAGCCCACCTATGTGAGGTTTACCGAGGTGGTAGGCCCTGTCCTTTACACGTTTTTTTATCGTTTAGACAATCCACAAGTGGAATGGTCAGCTCCAACTTGCCTTTGTGCTTGGTCTTGGCTTCATATGGCCTGTCCGGGTGCATATGGATTCCAGGTGGCAATCGACGTCTGTTGGCACGAAATGCTTCCAGAACTGCAGCTGCCATGTGGGAAGATGGGAAGGTTATCTTCATTAGACGGGGTCTAAGATCACCGTCCTTCTTGATTAATCTCGTCATATCTTTTACTACATACGAGTAGTAAAATTCTAGAATTCGCTGATGAGTTGGGTGGTTAAGCGGCTTCTCAGAAGTCCTTTAAAGGGGAACGTATGATATTTTTTAAGGACTATGGGAAGTATTTCACCATGATTTATCAACCCACTATTCTCTAATATCTTCAACCATACCTATGTCCCAAAACACAGGCATCAGTGATTCACTGGTACTAGATACAGAAGCTCGTTAAGCGATAGCTTCTTCTATTTCATCCATAACCATTTGAACCATTTGGTTCTTTGGTGTTCTAGTCGCATGCCTTAGCCCGCGGCGTGCGATAATTGCGTTACGAAGGCCTGAAGCCTTTGGTGTAAGTGATGTATTTTTGCTGTGAAAATTGCATGAAGAGTGTCGATGAGCGTTTTAAAAATGGTAAAGTATGTGGTTAATATTTTGTAGTATAAATATTCATCTGACGTTTTTCTGTCATTTGATTTATTACATCAGTAACAGTAGTACTTCGAAGTACCACTAGACGACTGTGTAGTTTTAATAATTATTTTTGACAGTGTAACAGCGTATCTTTCCATCCTAGACATTCTTGAAGCATTTTAGCTGGTTTTTCAAAAATTCGAAGAAGTCCGTTATTACTTTTATCTAGGACTGATCATTTGGTAGGACATTCTCTTAAGGTCAAAAACCGAAATCAGATAATTTATTTCTGGAGTTTCGTTTCGAGTTACGATAAGCCGAAATTCTTCAAAAAATAACACGTATGGTGCTCTTTATCGTATGAATTCCCCAACCCACGTGTTTAGACTAATAATACTGCATCTCGTTAGGTGGAGTAACCTTAGTACTACTATTACAACATAACACAATCCACCTTGAATTCCTACTACCCACGAAATAGCTTCTAACGCTGAATCGTTGAAAGACTTTAGTCCTTTTAAGGATCACAGTATTTGTTGTTTTATGTTATGACACTGACCCTCGCTTGTAACGTATAACTGCAGTTGACTTAGTGAGAATGTGACGGAAATGCCTTTGTAAGTATTAAGTTTTCTTTAAACTTCTTCGTACATCTTCTGCTACACTACTCTAGTCGGTTTGTAGATTTTCAAGGCGAATGTTTAGTGTTAAAAAACCAGTCTTATTCTCTAGCTCGCTGAATAATCTAGAATTTCGTGCTGTAAATAGCTCCCAAGCTATCAAAAGTACAATTAAGACACATCAATCTCTAGGTTTCAGAATACAATATCATTAACTTTCTCAAAGTAGTCCTTTGCTAAACTGACGAGGATGGTATCTTACTAAACATAACTATTTTGTGACACCAATTAATTACATGGGTTGTCATCTAGTCTTTTTTATGGTTAGATTACCAGACTGTCGATGGACTTAATTATTTGTTGGATTCAGTCTTGTGAGTGATCACTCCGTAAGATGGCGTCATTTCGGATTTACAGTCGATCAACATCCTGTCAGTTGTTTTAACCATTGATTTTTGGTTAGATTAGTCGAAATCATGTTCACACTACGGATTTCTACCTTAAAATAATGTTCTTCGTTCACAGTTTTATAGATTGTCTCAGGTATGGATAAAATAGATGTTCGCATATTTGTTCTCATGGTTATAAACAAAGAGTGGAATTGTATCATTTACCCTTAAATTTACCATGGATAACACCGTAATTGCTCGTATAAAGCGTCAGTCAACTACGACGTATGACCAGGCACACATATACATCGGTCCAAGTTTGTAACAGGTGTGTCACAATAAATATCTACCATTGCAAGAAAGTTATGGTTTTACGGATGATATAGGGTTACTGTAAGATAACAAACAGACAGCATAAATTTCAATTAATCAAAGCTTTGTTGTTCAAAGTCCATATTTCGAGCTAATTAAGTCTTAGGTATCTTTTACTAGGTTTCTTGGGATCTACGTTACCTTAATATTTTTGATTAAATATTGAATGATCGAATTTGTGTATATGAGGTAGTGGGACGAGTACTTTTTGGGTATGGTTTACTTGATTAGTTCTCATACAACTAAAATCTCAGTGACAAGTATCAATCTGAGTTGATTATGTGGCTGTATTTTATAAATTTTTTTATTTTTATTTCAACACATAGATAATGGTACAAAAGGGCACCAAATACATATGCGCCACACAAATCTCATTCGATAAGTGTGAGGGCTGTGATACTGCCCGGGTGCCCAAACCGAAGCAGGATTTTATAAATAAGATGAAATCATTACCCGCCGACCCGAGTCGTACAAGTTGGTGAAGACTTTAAGTTAGGTCTTGTTGTGATGGAAATATAGTGATCGAACAGCCTGTTTGGCATGCTTGTATTGTTTGTTTGAATCTTCACATTGATGTTTAGGACTACAATTGATCGTTGTTGCTACCTTGACGTGCTGGTCGGGCTTGCCTATCGTGATGAAGCAACCGAGCTATACTGACTGGAACAACTGTTCCTCAAGGTTCTACCACGTCAGAAAGGTCGGTTGGAGAGTGTTAGCGGGACATAGACTAGATTAAAGCATGCTCAATACATGATTGCTTTGGTGCACGCTGATTGGCTAATTCTTATCCAATCAGCACTAGTCGATTGTTGGAGAATACTCTGGAATCTTCTTATGTAAAAACTATAAATATACTGACGTTTTCCCTATTGTGCTTCTGGCTTGCATCTTGCTTCCATCTAACCTTGTTATTTGGAATATAACCTCTTTCCTGTTCAACCGTGTTCTGATTTGGGGTCTTTGTCGAGTGAATCGGTGTCGAAGAATACTAAGCAATAGGAATAGCTGGGTTATACTGTAAGAAAGAGATTATAACAGTGGCGACGGGAAAAAAGGAAAACAAATTCAAGATGCCTATATCAGATGACCAGCTTAACCGAATACTACAACAACAGCAAGCACAACTTGATGCACAAATGCGGTTGTTGGAGACTCTGACTCAACAGCTCAGTATCCACAGCTCGAGTTCACATGCTATTTCAAGTACGTCTTGTGATGCAGTTGCTAGCAGCATCCCAGAATTCATCTTTGATCCCGAAAGTGGAAATACTTTCCTCACGTGGTTCAAACGTTGGGAAGATACATTTAGAACAGAATTCTGTAACCAAGACGATGCGTGGAAGACCCGATTGTTGGTACGTAAGTTGGGAAGCAATGAACATGCACGTTTTGCTGACCATATATTGCCAAAGTTACCTCGAGAGCTCAGTTTCGAGGAGACGGTATTTCAGTTGTCAGAGATATTCGGCGAGTCATCCTCGTTGTTTAGTATTCGATATCGATGTCTAAATTTGGTGAAACGCGAAGCTGATGAATATGGTGTTCTAGCAGACATCGTCAACAGAGAATGTGAACGTTTCAAGTTACGCTCGTTGACTGATGACCAATTTAAATGCTTAATATTCATCAAAGCTCTTCAGTCACCACAAGATGCTGAGGTCAGGACTAGACTTTTAGCTCGGCTGGATCAAGACCCAAGCGTCACACTCAGAACATTGACAGATGAGTGTAAGCGTCTACAAAGCATCAGACACGACAACCAGTTAATTGAACAGGTAAATCCTAATTTAACCTGCGGTAGTGTAAATACTATTACTAGGTTAAAAGTTCAGAAGCCGGTAACAACTCGTAACAAACCAAGGACTGCATGCTGGTTATGCGGTGATTGGCACTATGCACGTTTCTGTCCATTCAAGAAGCATAAATGTCAGGCGTGCAACAAACGTGGACATAAAGAAGGTCATTGTCCACCGAAGCGTACGTCTCAGCCTAAGAAGAAGCATAAACGTCCTCGACTTGTGAAATCAGCCGAGTCTAAATCTCTTTCTCTGGTAGCTGCCTTTCAAACAAACTATGACATTCGAAGAAAGTATGTTACCATCCAGATAAACGGCATATCAGCTCATCTCCAAATTGACACGGCATCAGATATCACGTTAGTGTCTAGAGAAACGTATAACTTGCTGGGTAAACCGCCAATGAAACCATCTAAGAAAACGGCTAAAAACGCATCAGGTGGTGTGCTAAAACTGGTTGGTGAATTACAGTGTGAATTTTCCTTCAATGGAACTAACTGTACAGGAATATGTTACCTAACAGAACGGCCGAACCTTGATCTTCTTGGTCTAGATATGTTAGACAAACTTGGAATAATGGATATACCAATTAACAGTGTTTGTAACGTATCGTGTTCATCATTGGACACCCCAGTACTTCCAAAGACAGGTGAAAGGTTACCAGGAAAACTGAAAAGAAAGATACCAACACATTCCCATATCATCCGTCCTACGCCAGCTATTGAACCCCAACGAAACCTATCGATGGAGAATCAGTTTAACCGACATCATGGGGCACAAAGACGATTGTTCATGGTGGGACAAAAAGTACTTGCTATGGACTATCGTGGGAAACAACCTACATGGACAGCTGGTCGGATCTTGAAAAAGAAGGGGAGTGTGGTTTACGAGGTGTCAGTTGGCTCGGAAGTTTGGGTACGTCATGCTAACCAATTGAAAGCAACTTCGATAGCCAGCAACAAAATTCAATATCGATTACCTCTGGATGTTCTGCTAGACACCTTCGAAATCAAAACGCCGGGAATAGACACGTCAGTTTCTAAGCAAGAAAAGAGTGATACTTCTCTATTGCCCAGACGATGGACTAATCGAAAGCACAGGCCAGTCCCTCGGTTGCAGTTGGACCCTAGCACCAGATCCTACGAATCTGCTCAAAGGGGAGGTGTTAGCGGGACATAGACTAGATTAAAGCATGCTCAATACATGATTGCTTTGGTGCACGCTGATTGGCTAATTCTTATCCAATCAGCACTAGTCGATTGTTGGAGAATACTCTGGAATCTTCTTATGTAAAAACTATAAATATACTGACGTTTTCCCTATTGTGCTTCTGGCTTGCATCTTGCTTCCATCTAACCTTGTTATTTGGAATATAACCTCTTTCCTGTTCAACCGTGTTCTGATTTGGGGTCTTTGTCGAGTGAATCGGTGTCGAAGAATACTAAGCAATAGGAATAGCTGGGTTATACTGTAAGAAAGAGATTATAACAGTGGCGACGGGAAAAAAGGAAAACAAATTCAAGATGCCTATATCAGATGACCAGCTTAACCGAATACTACAACAACAGCAAGCACAACTTGATGCACAAATGCGGTTGTTGGAGACTCTGACTCAACAGCTCAGTATCCACAGCTCGAGTTCACATGCTATTTCAAGTACGTCTTGTGATGCAGTTGCTAGCAGCATCCCAGAATTCATCTTTGATCCCGAAAGTGGAAATACTTTCCTCACGTGGTTCAAACGTTGGGAAGATACAT